CCTGCGCGCAGGTCGGCGGGCCAGCAGAGGCGAAGGAGCAGCCCCGTTTGGTGGCGCGCCCTGTCGCGGGAAACCTCTGCCCTCCGCGGTGCCGGTGCGATCTTTTTTTTTTTCTGAGCCCCGAGTTAAAACCACGCGCGACGCGGTTCACGTGGGCGTTGGAAATCACAGCCCAGCGCCCGCGTGTCTGTTGGAAAGGTAAATCTTTATTTCTTTTGTTTCTTCCAGGTTGATTCCAGCAACGCGCTGTCTGAAAGATGCTGCAAGGAGCTAATAGTAACAAGTAGCTCTGTACCTTTCTGGACAGTCTGGTAAGCACACAGCTCTGTCAGCAGCTTTCCTCTCTTAAAAAAATAACAAATAATACATTCTCTGTGGTTTCGTTGCTGCAAGGCAGCATTAGTTTAGAAGAGTACTTGGACAAGGCTTAGGGATTAAATAGTTCCTTTTTTTTCCTTAAAACAAACAGAGTTTGTAACTCCTCCTTGTCATAGAATAACTTGTAGCGCTGACCAGCAAACAACGCTGAGGTTTAATTTCAGCTCTGTCATTGCTTGCTTTGCCCAGCCTTTTCAGCTAACTAGTAGCGTGAACTGGAGCACTTAAATCCATCCTGAAGGACTTATTATCAGAGTTATCAAGTATATACTTATGTCAACTTGCATCAAGTATATACGTAAGTATATACTTATCTATATTGATATCAGAGTATCAAGAGTTGCAGGTGCCGTGCACTTGTGAAGGAGGAAACTGGATAAATGGTCTGCTGCAAATGTGTATGGGGTTTAACTCTATACAGCATGTTGGTGAATATTACTGCTGATCTTGTAGTGCCACATTTTCCTCATCCATAAAGTGGGATAATAATATCCCTATCTCCAGATGCCGACACCAGAGGTTATTTGGCGAGTATTAACGAACACATAAAACATTGTGTAAAGGTTACATTTATTCCTTCATATTTTTCTAAAAATAAAAAGATACACTTCCCACCCAAGCTATGCTCATCTTCCTAGTTAAGCCATGGGACGTTTTCTGCTAGGAAGTGAACAGACACCTACAAGTATATTTAGCAAAACCTATCACTCAGCCGTTATCTGGATTGGAAACACGTCTCAGTCAGTACTAGAGTGGCTGGATTTAACCTTAAAAGGTTAAAAAAAAATCCCTGAGGAAGGTATATGCTCTACTTTTTTATTTCTCTAAATACAGGCTGTGCATAGACACAATATGTCTGAAATGGAGTGGCCAAATATGACACTTTCACATTTTAGAACTGGACGCAGACGGGATATGTTAGAGATTCAAAAACACAGCTATACTATAATAAGAAACCAGCCTTGAAAAGTTGTGTCTAATATGCCTAGTCATCCTAATTTCAACACTGACATCTCCAGAAATTTCTGCATACAAATTAAATGTTCTATTTGTGGTTAATTCCATGCTATTTTCTCTAAAAGAAGAGTGATCTTTACTCACACCTGTAAAGAAATATTTGAGATGTCTTTCTTTAATAGACATAGAATAATTAGAATAGAATAGAATAATTTTCTTTAACCTACTGCTGTACTGAATTGGAATGTCAGTTCGAAGTTTCTGCGTAACGTCACTTAGCTTACGTCAGCTCAGGACTGATTGTGAAATACATCTTACTCACTGTGCTGAGCACAGAGAACTCCACGGATTTCTGCATGCACACACTATCATAGTTTGAGATTTAGGCAGAATAAGCGCAGCATGTAAAGCTCTCCCCATCTTTTAAAGACAGCCTGATTAGTTCATTTTATTTCCACGCAGTAACTCATTGGATATTCTTGCCCATGCTGTTTCATTTGCATTACATCTTTTATTTCCCAGCTTTCTGGATCCTTACGAGACCCCCGGTACTTGATGACAAGGCTGGCTCTCTGTACGTTTAAACTAAAGAGGAAAGAAGGTCTGTTTTCCTTCCACCCACTTTGGTATGCAAAGAGTTGGGATTGAGAAGCTTGAGTGAAGCTGCTGAGAACAGCTCCTTTACACCCGTTTACATTATTGTTTATTTAGTCGGGGAGGAGGGGGGGTAGGAACAGGGCACCCACAACTCAAAAACAGGAGCCAGAAGCTAACCTTTTTGGAGGTTGATTGTCTAACAGTGTCCAACGCTGAAGTAGAAAGGCAAGCATGCTGAATGTAATGCACTGGGAGAACTGTTCCAGGGCAGAAGCCATGCAAGATCTCCCTGTACGCTGGGGGGGGAGGGGGAGGGGGAATGGTAACAAAGAAAATCCCATCAGCCTTTGGGATTGGTTTAGTGCTAACTGCCATGAGATTCATACCCCTGAATCCTGGAGAAAGAAGAGACAAGAGTGTTCTACTACAAAAATAGATGAGGGAGTCATTCTTTCCTTTGCAAAGGTTAACAGTAGTTTATGTAACAGGTTAGTAATTAACAATTCCCATGGGCTTCGGGGGATCCAAATTCAGGTTCCCTATCTGCTAGTGAAGACCTACAGCATTCCACCCTCGCACTGGGACCCTAATTGTTACGCATGCTCTTACCTTCTCCTCTCTCCAGCCCTATTATTATTATTATTATATTCTACACAGTGGGAAAGCTCAGCAGGAGGAAAAGAGAATGGGGCACTCCTCCATCCTTTCCAAATCCCAGACAAATTTACAGTATGGCCTTATGCAAACTGTACCTTCTCCAGAGGCCAGAGATGTGGATGAGAATCCTGTGGGGATTAGCCCAGGCTGCCCCGTTCTGGTTTTGTGCCCTCCACCAAAAGACAGTAGATAAAACAGCAGTGACGCTTGCTTCATCCATGCTTTGAATCAGCTGTCAGAGTTGTGTAGGAGCTGATCTGTTAAATGTGCTATCTGCTAAATGTGCAAACACTTGCCAGATTAAGCCCCTTCAAGAGGTGCAGATAGAATAAACCAGTGTTTGTGGATCTTTAATCACCTAGGAAACTTCCATGTAAAAAAATAAACTTTGGCATCTGTGGATACCTTAGTGCCTTCAGTGTGATGTGACAGCAGAATGAGACTCTTGCAGATTAAAAGTTTTACTCAGTGTCTAAATCTCATGTCATTTCTATGTTAGATGATTGCATTCTTTGGACAGTTGTGCAATGCAGACCTGCATTTACAGAGCAAGCATGAGAAATCCAGTGAAAAAGCAAATTCCCAGGTTTTCAGGAATCTCTTGATTACCTGTAAGAACAACAAGAAGTGAACAGCATCAAGAAATCAGCCACAGTACATCTTTGGTACTACAGCTATCGTTTGCTTGTCACATCTTGTTCAGTACTGTTATATTCAGTCAAACTGCGACATATCAGTGCCTTACCCAGAATGTGAGCATTTACAGCAAGAATCTTATATCTTTGACATTTATATAAGTCAACCTCTTGCTCAAATTGTAAGTAATGCTATAAGTCACACTTCCCCCACAGCCCTCTCTCTACTGATGTTAAAATGTTTTGTTGAAGAGTAGTTCTCCAAATATCCTGGTTTTTGCAAGTCAGAGAGAGGTCAGTACCTTACCTAAGGTCAGAGAGAAAGCTTGATATAGCAGCTAGAAGTCCTGACTCTCTAGCAGATACTTTAACTGTGTCATCATATCTTCACCTCCTACTGCCTGTTGATACTTATATAATGAAGGGCACAATGATGCAATTTCATGAGGTGCATAAATAGCTCTGCTGCCAGCCTGGGGTAAAAGCAACAAGAAGATTCTCAGGCTTTTTCAATGTGACATCCAGAAGGGTCACTGTCTGGATCAGATTTTGGGTGAGATTGCTTTTCTTCTGCTGTTTGCTGTTTTCTGAGAGAAGTTCTGTTTGTTCACCACCTAGCAGCTGGCTGCTTACTGGATGCCAGGGAACACCCAGGAAATGCTGTGCCAATACTGGTGTCAACTGCTTTGAAGAACTCGGGGAAAGCCGGCCTCTTTTGAGGCCTTGTACAAAGGAGACTGACCTCCCAGGCATAAACGCGGAAGAATGGTCCAGAGTGGCTAAATTTTTACAAACTAAGCAAGGTAGAGAACCAGAGCCTGGAAAGATCTTTAGGCCCTACATTAAGAAGGGCTCTATTGCAACAGGAAATTAGTAGTCAGCTGACTAACCTACAGGAAAAAAAGAATTAATGGGTTCTCAATTAAACAACCATTGGCCATGTCATTAGGTTAACAAGCATCCAGACTGTTCAGAGAATGCTCAGAAGTCCTCTTGCATAGGACAGGCCTGAGCTGTTTCTCTGACCACAGTAACCTACCTATGCGTCACCATACTTCTCCCGTGTTCACATAGTTAACCCCAAAGAAAAGCTGCTCTGAGAATGTTTCCCTCAGTTCTCCCTCTTCAAGCAACCACTGAGGGTCAGATAAGCTACTTCATAGGATTTTTTGGTGTCCTCTTCTTTAGAGGGTAAGTTCTTCAGGGTAGGAAGAATGTCTTATCGGACTACAGAGATTTATTGTGTGCCATCAACATTATAATAATGTAAGGATGGTGAACTGGAACAGCTCAAGAAGTCATCACTGGACAGGTGGCTTTGGTTTTAGTAGTTAACTTGTAGGTATTACAAAACTTTGGCAGGTTCTAGTGACGCTGTTTGTACCGTATGTTATTTACATGGCTTTATGGCCAAGAATGAGATTAATTGCCTTGTAAAGAAATGAGATCTCTCAGACTCAGTCAGTGGTAGATGCACATCCAGTATAATCATAGGAACCAAATGATGAGCTATTTTTATAATGCTTAGCACTGCTCTGATTCCTGAACTGTGTATTTTCATCCCAAAGCACTCGGGCATTCTTTGCACTTGTCCTTCCTTTCCTTATCCTCCCATTGCAGGAGGGGAGGAGACAAGGCTCAGTTTCATTTAGTCAGTGAGCGCTTCATTTTTAAGATGATTTAGTGCTGATGGAAGGAGTCGGTGTGGCAGTTCTAGAGACTAATGTTTTTCTTTCCTCTTAAGAGGAAGACACAGTGCAGGGAACAGGACATGTGTTCATGAACCCCACCCCCCAACTCCATTTTCTTTTCAGGGCTCTTAGCAAGCAGCCTTGTTCCACACGGCAGGAGAAATCAGGCAGGAGAAATCAGGGAAAGCGAGTAGCGGTCCTCAGCTCCTGACTGCTGAAGGACTTCTATGTTCCCTAGCCAAAAAAAAAAGCAGTGTCAAGAAGGCACAGAAACCTTCCTCTTAGTTCTTAGATTTTGCCTTGCTGAGAAAGCTGTTTTCACAGATACCTCTCAATGCTCCTGCTCACACGCTGCTCGCCCCTTCTATAGGGCCCTGCAAGTAACCAGTCTTAGGAAAGCAAGGCAAAAGGCGTTGAATTACAGAGGTGATTTATTATGTCCTTGGGCCTAGTGGGGAAGAGATCAATGCAGGCCTTGGAGGCCAATGTTGAGAGCAAAGCTCAAGAACTTTCTACCTCCTGCTGTTCTCTCTCCAAAATGCACTGCAGCGGCTTTTCACACTGTCTTTGTGGCTAGTGCTGCATAGCTCCAGGGAGTTGACCATTCACTACTGAACTCTCATAGGAGGTGGGGGCAGACCCACTAATGCTGAGATTATCTCTAACAATTAGTTGGGGAAAAGCAGCATTCTTCAAGCATTTTAGAGCATCCTCCTGGATTTTTCTTCTCAGGGATGTGAGGGAGATCACAGCATCATTATCTTTCACCAGGGTTCAGCCCTGCCTTCCAGCCTACACGCCACATTCTCAGCAGGCCAGATAACATTATGTTCTCTCCCACTGGGAGACAAGTGTTGCAAATATATTCTCTCAAACTAGAAGTTTACGTTATCTGGGTGAAGGGATTTTTTTTTTTCTTTAGATAATGAAAGAAAACAGAACTCGATGTTATACTCTAGATGGGGTTGTAAAAAGCCACAACAAGCTCAGGCCACAAGCGTGTTCATCACCGACCGGGGATCACCAGAAAGAATTCTGCAGCATAACACGCTCACCACCACACCAGGCTCTTCTGGAGTTCATGCTGCCCACTGTTCCCACCCCAGACTTTGCCAGACGGCTGCAGAGTGGGAACTGGGTGCTTTGGAAAGCTGGAGACAAGCCCGTAGGGGGTGGAGTATACTGAGAGAAGGACAGTGTCAGGTGTAGCGGCTGTAGAGAGAAGTGCTAAATGTAAGAAAGCAGTTATCAGTCCTTGCCTTTGGATAGCTTGTGGGATGGTGTAGGGCAAGGACAGGCTCCTTGCCCCTGCCATCTTAGCAATTAATGCAGTAAAACATTTGGAATATAGCTTGTATGTTCAAACTCTGTTGCACAACTAGCGCTTGCAAAGCCTTTTTGGATGGGATCAAGTTGAAAAGAGGGTAGCAGTCCGATTAGCAGCTGTGTGCCCCAAGAATATGGCATTAGCAGCTGTGTGCCTCAAGGAATTTCTGTTTCTCCCAGGATCTGTGGGACTCAGTTAAACATTATTTAGTTTGTAATTCTTCTTTATCTCTGGGCTAGACAGATCAGTTGTTTCTGCTCATTGTAAATTGCATTTGCTTGCATAGTTTGGTGAGTGCTTTGCCCTCTTCTCTCATCACCTGATTGATTACATGTAGCTCAATCTCTCCTGCAGAGGCCTAGTGGAAAGACTCAGTTCTTTGCAGCTTCCAGCCAGCATTCCTTTTACAGATGATAACTAATGAAGCCATGCATCCCCTAGGTAAATACGGTGAAATTCATGAAGCTAGGCAAACAGAAGCAATTCATTTGCCTACAGTTAGCTACTATAAAGGGCCTTTTACAAAGGACAGAAGGGTTACCTAGAACAGTTTGCATAGGGTTGCTTCTAAACAGAAAGGCAGCCTGGAGCCACAGAATATAGGAGGAACAGAGCAATTTCTGAGGATTTTGCAAGCCTTTGGAGAACTTGGCCTGAACATTCGTATTAGTCATTGTAGTTTGCTTTGCTGGCTAATGGGTGAAGCACGCTACTGAACTCAGCTCTTACCCCCAGCTTTTGGTGCTGTCTTGCCTTGTGTCACGCGGCTGGAGAGCAGTGGGCTAGGTTGCCCCAGCCTGGACTCATTCACAGGAAAACGTATTTTCTTCCACAGGCCTGAGAGCTGGCTTTCCCGTGTCTTGCCTTGCTGTTCAAACACAGTGCGAGGTGTGGAAGGGAGGCAGGGTAAGTTACTGGGTTTTTCGGAGTGCCTGTGTGGCAAACGGATGCACTCAAGGGTCTGGCCGCTTGCCTGAGGGTGATTCACAGTCTCAACAATATACTTTTAGCAGTCAGTCTATGGGGAAAGCAGAATTATTGATACCTTTGGACCCTGACCGACCCTTTTTCTGGTACGCTGTGGCTATTGATCCAAGTCTTGAGGTCATTTGGGAACAACTACATAATCTGGCCTCTAGTATCTACATTTCTGTCTACATAGCTGGAGGCAAAGATCGGTTGGCGGCAGAACATCCTAGCTGAACTCAGATGTGTCAGCCAAGAGAGAGACTCCAGCAGTAAATAGAAACCTTGAAAGGAGTGACTGATCAAGATGTGGTCCAGGCATCCAGGTTAAGCCCTTCATTTGACCCCGAAATTATTCAACTCTATCTGTAAAATAAGGTTAACTGCATTCTTCTGCTATGTTGTGCTCTTAGAAAGCCTGACTCCTAAAGGAGTGCTCGGAAAGCCTTAGTGGAAGGACAGCAGAATCATTTCCACACGCTCTGTAGCTGTGCATGGGGAGAAGAGCTTGCCTTCAGGCACAGCTGTCCAAAGAACCAGCAGGACAGGTTCATTCTCCCATCCGCTCCCCAACACTTCAAAGATTTCTAGCCTGCAGGGGCCCAGGATGAGAGCACAAAGACGTCCTTTTACTTCAGCAATCACACTAGACGCAATATCTAATGATGCAGCCTAGACAGTGACTATATAATTAATGTACCATCCATTCCATACAGTTTAGCAACTGTCACTTCAGCTTAATTAGCAGCCTGCTTTCAAAGCAGATTAAATGTAGTCCCTTTCTTGGAACATAGTTGCTCTCCCTGTTCTTCCTCTGCAGCAGCACTCCTATTTCATGACAGCACTGAAAAGCACACGCACACAATGGCGGCAAGGAAGGCGACCAAACTCTTTACAGGATAGGTGCCTTTGGTATTGCTTTATGTCCCTAACTAGCCCTGATTTTTCTACCCTGTTTTAAGTCTTGAAAGCTATAACTGCACTGCCATAACAACACTGGATAGAGAATCACAGAATGGTTGAGGTTGGAAGGGACCTCTGGAGATCATCTAGTCCAACCTCCCTGCTCAAGCAGGGTCACCTAGAGCATATTGCCCAGGATCGCATCCAGACGGGTTTTGGATATCTCCAGGGAAGGAGACTCCACTACCCCTCTGGGCAACCTGTTCCAGTGCTCTGTCCCCCTCACAGGAAAGACGTTTTTCCTCAGGTTTAGGTGGAACTTCCTGTGGTTCAGTTTCTGCCCGTTGCCTCTTGTCCTG